CCCCCCCCCCCCCCCCCCCCCCCCCCCCCCCCAAAAAAAAAAGTGGATTTTTTTATCAACATACAATAAATATATCTCCCAGGTATTTGGGATGGACAACTTGAATCAACACCTTGCAATTGTAGATTGTTAATTTCAGTATTTGCAAGGATGGTGATTTTTGTTTTGTTTAAAAATCCGCAGTTATTGTAAGATTCTTCTTTATTTCTTTTTTATTTTTAAAAAGGCCTGAGTAAAAAGTTCCACTCTGGGACTTGTATCAGATTCTCTCTGAAGCAGAATTCAACCTCTTCATTAGTAAAATTCTTCAAGGCAATTCTTTCACATGGGGGGAACAATCATGCCAGATATAGCTGTCAGAAGGAAAGGGGAGGGGGGCGGGGAAGAGAGAGAGAGAGAGGGAAAAAAGTTACTTTTGTACATTATCAAACAACTTTTAAAATGCTTGGAGCTTTTAAACATTTACTAGCAATGTACTCAGCTGTACTATTAATTAAATTTATATATAAGTATCATCCAGTAGAGACAACCATGTACACAGTAACCATGGGAAGCCTCATTCTGATCAGAAAGTGGTTTAAATTGCAAGTGACTGCTGAAATGAGTGATTTTCTTGCAGAAAAAGTGCACTTCCCCTGATATCAGAATCAGACCCCAACTTAATTTTCTGACTTCAGTTTCAAACTCTCAAAATGCTCGGGAGGCTTAAACCTGATCCAGCCATTGCCACACATTCTATTACTCTCTTAAAAGCAAAGCAGATACTTGCTCCACGGATGAGAAAATGGCTGGAGTCCCATAGGCCACCAAGATCACAGACCTGGCAGGGTGTTCGTTGCATTGGGCACACTGACAGTGGTTTGTTCTCCTGTGCCGGTTTGCTCTTATGAGTCCAGGTACTCATAAAAGGACTTAAATTCAATTTTCAAATTGAAATATGTCCTTAACTGGTGGTTTAGCAGACTGGCACCTCATGGTTTTATTACGCTTCTAGCAGACATCACCAGCTGCACGGAGTTGTATGTTAATGTTAATTTAGAATGTCTTCTCTTCTGTTGGCTAAGTTGAATCGTCAGTATTTCTTCATTATGTTTCCTAACGTCATTTTCTACGAAACCACCACCTCTCTTAAAGAGGAGACATTAATTAAAAGTCAACAGGTACAGGCTTCCACCTAGCTTGATTTCCAGCTTGGTCTCCCTCTATTTACCAGGGACTCTATGCAGATCAGACAAACCAAGTGTCCAAGTGATATACTGTGAGCAAGTACATCATTACAGGAGGTAGTCATGCAAGTTTATGATAAAAACTGTAACAACAATGCATTCAAAATATCAGTTGTATGGTTATTTGCCAAAAGGTAGAAAACAGATTCGCCTTCAGGTTGGCGGCACTTCATGGGCACATTATTTAAATGCTAGAACTGCCTGCCATCTCAGACATCTGGACGTGTAATTTCTTAAGGAAGAACTCAACCCTGTGACTGGTGCCGATTCATTGTGCTTTAATTACAGCTGCAATTATTTGATAAGAACAGAGCCAAAGTAAAAGACTCACAGATTTGGGGTTGGAGGGGGAGAGGAGGGAAATGTTTTCTCCACAAACACCACCATATGTGCAAGAATTACAAGTCTAATCAGCAAGAGGAGAACAGCTCGAGTAAACTGCACTGATTAAATGAAATAAAATGAGAGGAGAAGGCGAGAATGCAAAACACATCCACATGTTTGGAACAGGCCATCCTCAGAGGTGACATGTTGCAACTATACAGCAGCATTTCAATTCTTGGAATTTATCATTCAGCAATGGTTTTATGTGGAATCACTGTACTGATTGTTTCTGCTCCACATAAGGGCTCTTCAAGGAGCCGAGGATGAGGATAAAAAGGATAGAAACGTGAGTTAAGTTGCTTTAAGCCCTACAGGAAGACACTCAAGTGAGCAGCATAGAGGACACCACTGTGTCTTAGCTGTTCCTTGCTGAGGTATTTCCTGTCATGGGCTTTTCTGGCTTCACCATGGAGATAATCTGAGGATGCATTTTCATATTATCTCCACAGCTATACCATCTCCTTCATCTCAAATCATAGGATGAATTCAATATTGTAATTTTTTTTAGAATCCTTGTTCAGTTAATCAACACTGGGTGAAACAACAGCAGCTTTGTTTAAAAAAATATTCTCGAAGGGTTTTATTTCAGCAGTGTCTCAAATAACAAGTTCTGAATCTCGCAATTGGGCTGTCCCCTTGGTACACGTGACTGAAAATGAAGCAAACCCAAGCCAAGCAATGCTCTCACTGTTGTGCTTGCTCCCTACTCTGCTCCTGGGATCCTTACATGTGAGCCAGGGTATGGACCCTGAACCACGGACCTCTATGGCTTCAATAAAATAGATATTGACAGTGATGGATACAGTCAACCAGACTCTAATTCTTCTGAGGCAGCCAACTGCAGCTAAGGGTGACAGTGTAATTTTCCTCATCTGAGTGTATGGAAGACTCATGTGGGCATGGACCCAAGACACACGTTTTGTCCCAATTCTCCTTCTAGCTCATTGTATTACATCAAGTAATTTGATTTGTTTCTGTTTCTTACCTGAGGATAACAATTTTTACCCCTATTAGTAAAGCACTTGGAGATTTCTGGATGGCAGTTATTTAGCAGAATATAGGGTTGGGACTGCAGTGCTTGGACATCAGTGCCACACATTACAGTGCAGAGAAAAGCAATACTGACAACAGTGCTCCCTCCTTTACTGTTCAGATAAGCAAGGAGTTGAGCAGATGGGAATGGATAGATTCTTTCTACATGTGATGAGTGCAACTGAGCAGAGTCAGATGGATAATTAATCCTCTGTGCATACTACTTCAACACTTTTTGTCCTTTTCTGCCCTTTCTAAATTCTAAATTTAGTGAAACTTTTAAAACAAGATGTTATTTTGCTTAAAAGAAATTACCTATACTTCAGAAAATGTCAAAGTATTATTCTAACAAAAAATTCTCAGCTAGAAGATTCATCAAAATCAAATCAATTTCACCAAAAAGTGGTCAAGAATTGTCTCTTTCTTGGGACAGCGCAGCTGCCTACCCTGAGTAAGAGCCCAAACAAAGGCGACATAATTGCAACTCCTCCCTTCATGGCTTAGACATTTCCCTGTAGTTACATATCAGCCACGCACCTTTTGCCATTGGAAACAAATGGTACAGATGCAGATCTTAGCTCATTTTTTTCAAAGCATGATTGTTTTTGAAGAGCTCTGAAATTCTGAATTAAATTACAAGGCAAATGGCAAATGATATCTTTTCTGCCTAAAAGCTTTGATATTTCCATTCTTTGCAAGTCTTCATTTGTATCACTCTACTTTTATTCTGTAAGTGCTACATCTAGTCATGCAAATTCTCTCAGCTGTAGCATGTTATTGATCGTGAAAACAGAGATATCAGTGGGAAACAGTGTAGGTATGAGATCACACCACCTCCATAAAGGGAGGGCAGAGAGTAGAAAAACCCCCACCAATGGGCATTACTTCTTCTATCATATACTAATTTGTATTTGCTGCTAGCAAATTACAGAAATAATGTATTTTGAGTTTTACAAAATTGCATGGCAAAGAGAACAACAGATAAGCCTAGCTGTTGTTTTAGTGAGTTCTGCTGATATCTAAGCTACAGAGGGAAAGCTTGATTGCTTTCTGATGTATCCAGAAGCCCAAGAGAGATAAGACAGCCTCCTTATACATGGTTGTTTATTTAAGCAATAAGGCACAACAGGCAGTGCATTTCTGAGTGATTATTACAAGCCTCAGGTGGTGTCAGAAGGCATGGGACTAAAAGCTGTGTGTCTTTAACTCACCAAGAAGTTCTGTGACAACCTAGAAATGAACCATCTCTTGGTGTCTTGTTCCTATTATGAAAACTGAATTGCTAAATAAAAATTAGGGGAAACACTCAGATCTGTGTGGTTTCTGGGCATTACAGATCTGGATGTGACATAATGAGGAGGCAATCAGCAAGCTGCAGTTGTGTCTGGTGCTTTCAGCTTGTTCCATAATTGCTTTTCATAACTGAGTATGTGGAATCTGAGAATTCCGTGTCTTGTGAAAGGAAAAACAGTGCCTGAAAGAGCTTTCTCCTGTTACTTGCTTTTTCTCTCCACTTGCAACAGCAAGTTGGGACAAGGTGAAGAGAAGAAAAAAACATTAACATGTTCAAAAGCTTCTAGCAGTCAACTCTAAGCATCCTTTTTGTTTGTTTTTGGTCTTTTTTTAATTTGGAGGTGAAATATTTTTAGGTGCTACCTTTAAAATTTGATGCATGTTGGCAGTGACAAATTTTTAAAACATACAGAAATCAATGTCCTACACACTACAGCTCATTTGAAAATTTTGGTGTGTTTTATTCCTGACACAGTCTGTATTTATAACAAAGTCTTGGGCAAAGGTACCCAAGTTCTGTTTATATGTTCCTAAGTACTTTCACAATTTCTGTGTGCATGTGTGTACATCTGCAAGGAATCCTCCTTCCAATTCACCAGTCTAAAATGCGCCGAGGACAATGCTTTCCTTCAGTCACAATAGATCTCAGCTTTTATGAATGAATTCCTTCCACTCTGCCTGCATATAGATTTTTCTGGCTGTTAATGGTGCCATCAGCATTATGCCTCCAAGCCCGGCGTTTCTCTTTCCAGAGGCCGTAGAGTGACAGGTGGAGACTGTGGAACTATCCTCCCCCTGCTCTGCACAGCTCCTTCTGAACATGGCTTTAAAAATGACAGATTTTATTCCCTGCTTGATGCTCTTTGGATAATTTGCACAGGCACGTGGAAAGGAAAACAGACCTCAGGTCTGGGAGAAGCACAACGCATACCGCAAAATCTTTCCCACCTCTGGCACAGTTGGAGGCAGCTGGCTGCATCTGCTTATGGAAACTCCTCGGTCTAAGCGAGCATGAAAATGTCTCTCTCAGCACACTAATGCGTAGCGAGGTAATTACACAGGAAGGTTTAGGCACAGTGTTGTAAAACAGGCTGAATCAAACAATGAAATGGGCAGTGCTGGTCTGTGCAGCATCCTCAGTTTTACAAGCTTTTGTCTGTCACTCCCTCAGCTTGCATCAATGCTTCAAAATGTATTTAGGTGCTAATGCTGGAATACTTGTAATGAGAGGGGAAGGGATGCAGAAAAGGAGCAGCCCCTTGATACCAACAGTTGAAGGGGCTTTCAGAAAGGCCCTGTGCCATCTCTGGAATTAATTGGCACAGAAGTACCTTAATCAGTGGAAACTAATGTTCGTCCTGGTATGAGTTAAACTGAAAAATGCTGCTGTTAGTTTGTAAAGTGTCTTCTGTTTATGAAAGGCAAAGGTTTGTGCCAAGCTCTGTAACGGTCTATTTGCTCTCAGTAGGATTTCTGCACAAGTGTACTATGACAAAGGAAAAAAATGAAGGGAAGATTGAGTGACGTACTTCAGGAGAAGGCCAGCCCCTGGAGAGACCCTGCAGTGGAGTACTTGCTAGAGTCCACAAAAGACTGGTCTGATAAAGGACGACAAGAGGGAATAAGAGAGGAAAGAAAGAAAAAGGATGGTATTAGTAAGCTGAAATATTACTCGTTTTTATCATAATAGTAGGTCTGTGCTTTAAAAGACACAGCCTCTCAATTCAGCAGTATTAGACGAGTTAGAGATAGGGTGGTTGCCAAACACCTGCATGGTACGAGGTGGGCTGGTGGTGGAGTCCAGTTACTCTTTACAGGAGAAAACTTTAGGACAGAGACCACCAGGGATCCCCCACTGTCCTCTATCCCCTTGGACATGACAACTCAGTGTTGCTTAGAGCCTCTCAAGGCACCGGGAACTCACGGTTTTGAGAGCAGCCACCTGTGCTCCAGACTTGATTTCACTTACCTTGCAGGCTATTGCCATTGGTGCTGGTGCAGGTGGGAGGAGGAGAAGTTTGTGGTCTCACGACAGGCGCAAAAGCACTCTTCTGTTTCACCGCTGAGACCATGTTGGCTGGTGAGAAGGAGAAAATCCCAGAGGAACTGCTACAGTTTGAGGGGAGGCTAGTGGAGGAGGCCATTGTCGGACTTGATGGCACAACTAGAGGAAAAAAAGACCCCCCAAAAGGCATTCCTTAGTATTAGATAATAAGAAGGCTGCAGAAACAAGAGAATTCTGCTTCCTGGATGCACTATGTCTTATTTCAAATGGCCAATGTCTTTACTACAGTTAGATTCCTGGTTGTTCACAATCACCATCAATCATCACAGGAAACCCACTTGTTTTGTTTTGCAGGTGTTCAGGAGCAGTAATTTTAGGAGCTCTTAAAAACTCCCTTAATTCTCTGTAACTGCAACTCTTTATTCTTTTTAACTTGGAAAGGTTTGAGTTTTGAACTGGCCTCCAAAACTAGCATTTTAAGCCATGCTTTCCTTGTAGCAAGATGACTCCAGAAAGACCTGTAGGGTTCCAAGAAAATTTGCAGAAGGTAGAGAGTTTAGTGGTGACTCAGACAACCTGCTTGTCAAAAGTCAGCAAAAATGGTTGTGTTTCTTTCCTCTCTCAAACCTTGCAAGAACTAGGCTTTAAAAGGAGTTATCCCAAAATCTGTGAATACACACACACACACTCACAATCACTCACTCACTCACTCACTCACGGAGGCTGTCCAGCACGAAGCAACCAGTGAGATGGCCACTCTGACAGTTTTTTACTCCTTTGGTCTCCTGTGACTAGTGTTTTCAGTGTCTGTTGCGCAAAAAATGTGTGGATAACTGACAGAAATCATGCTTCTCTTTTATCTCCCAGTGGGAGAAACTAATAAATCATTCTCACAATGGCCACAGACACTTTCTGTGTTATAGCTACTACTACCAAGTCAGTCTCCAGCTTCCCTGTATCCATCAGCTTTGGAAAGTTTCTGCTGTGAGGACTTCCCAGGAATCCTCAGTGACATGAAAAACAGTTAGATGTCTCACAAGACCATTTTATTTATGCACAGGAATGGAACTGACATTTCGTATCTCACCCGAGATGGATAATTTTGAAAATGAAAGTCTATTTTATAATGGTCAAGACAAATAATTCTCCCAGAGGATCTACGACCAGCATCTGAACAGTCAATACAACATTCTCATTCAGAGCCATCGACTGGAATCTCAGCTGGAATAGCTAAGCAATGAAGCCATTCCGGTACACATCGGATGAAGATCTGGCTTTAACTACAAGACTGAATAAAATGAGTCTTCAGTATTTCTAAGAGTATAGACATGAGGCTTTCCTTTTTTTTAGGGACTGAACTGATTGTCCAGAATGCAAACTTGCTACATAGGAGGTTCAGTTTTAAAATAAATATATCTTTAAACCATTATTTAACTCTATAGTGAGATAAATATCTTTGGTTCATATATTTATCATTGAGGTTTAAAGTGAATTTATTTTCACAAAAATAAAGCCCACTACTTTTATATTCAGACAGCACTGCCAGCTTCTCCTCTTATCCCACAAAAACAAGGAAAGGACCAGTAGTAAGATCCCATACTTTCATTCTTGTCCTGTTTAGAAACTGCTTATACACATGAGGGGGCTATGAATAATTACATATTATAGAGTAAAATTCCTATCATCTGGCCTTTGAATTATTATTTTATTTGCATTTATGTAGATAAAAATCACCCTATTTAAGTTCTTATTTGAGAATCTGATATCATATTTGTTAACACTGAGGAAATCAATTAATGGAAATTAAATGTTCAAAGTTTCACAGTCTGACAGATACAATCTTAGTCTGAAGTCACTCTATGTCTGGAAGTACTTGCTAAGGGAGAGCAATCAAAGCACCTAAATTGAATTGCTACTATACAGCAATTAGTTTATTGATTTAATTAAGAATGCCACCTTTTAATTTTCAGGTCATGATTGAAGCATTTTCTGATTCGATGGATTAGGCATTAGCAGAATGACAGATCTACCAAGAAAACCTCCCAAAATATAACTAGAATAGAGAACCAGGGCTGGAAAGTGAAGTGCTATTCTAAAGAGGACTTGTTCATAAATATGAAATAATATGCTGCTAGGGTATTTTAAATGCATTACTGGCATCTGCTTCCAAAAAGAGATGTCGCATCAATCATGTTATATTATGAATTCAGAGTGCGCAGATTCTATGACAGTAAATTCAACTTAATAAGTAAGGTACTTTGTAACATTACATGTTACATTATTATTAGAGTACAAAAATAATAACTGGTTAGCAATTCCCAGGTTATAAGTACTAGTTATGTGGGTAAATATTTTCTTCTAATTTTGCAGCAGCTAAGAAGCCTTGGAGGTAATTTTTAAAATCAGTTACTATCCCCTTTTTAAAGCTGAACTTTAGCAATGCAATTCAAAATAATCCATTACTGATGTTACACCACTGAACATAAGATTTGCTGCGTAAACCTTGTTATGTTCAGCAGTCCGTTCGTCCTGTCCATGCTAGGGTCTCAGACTATAAACCTATTTATATGACAAGACCTTCTGGCCTGATTTTGCTAGCAGCTTTCTACAAATGTCAGTGGAATCCTTTATGCCACATGAGTAATGTCAGAGGAATTGGGCAGGTCCTATTCATTTAATTTTCTCATGTGAATAGGGACTACTGAGCTGTGTGAGCAGCTGCAGTAGAGGTTCATAGGCCTTTGCCAATAGAAATGTATTTATACTTAAACAGGTTACTAAACCTTTAATATCAAAATGCAGAAAGTTAGTTCTACACATAAATATTTCCATAACTGGGACTGTAGACCATAGGTTCTTTATGCCCTGGAATGTACGATTTGTATGACTTACATCTTTGTGGCATTCACCATACAGACACTAAAACACAAACTCTAAGAGACATTGTCACATTTTACTGACTAATATTAATCTCTCAGTGAAGTCAATACCTGCTTACAAACCAAATCGAGTGTAAGCAACCAAGATTAGGCCCAATAGTAATTTATAATTTCTATAAAGGTTATGAACATATTATTTACTCAAGGGTCTTGGAAACATCATCATGCAGCTTATGGAAATGTCAGTGTTATTAGAATAAACTTTTCTGCCCTTCATATCTTACAGCTAGAAAAAACTATTTTCCTGCAGCAAATACCCTTTAGTTTCCTTTCACAGCCACTGCAGCAAAAAGGTGTGTACTGACAACTGACTTCTGAGCCGCTCCAACGGACATTAAGGCACTTGTGCCATCCTTGCTTTCTAGCAACGTTGAGGACGCCATTTCTTATTTACTGAGTATAAAGTAAGTTATGAAAGTATCAGCCCAAATCATGAGTGACATTATTCTTTTTAAGCTCTTGTGTGAGACTCAATAACAATCATCATCATCATCATCATCATCAACAGAGAAGAGCATTGCTGGCAACACTAATGTCTTCAAAGTGCTTCAAAGGTCAGTGCCTTGGGGAGAAGGACCAAGCTTTCTTTCAAGTGCTCAAAATAGTAACTAAATATTGAGTATCACAGAAAAGTCACCATCGCCTTCCAATGAAAATGTGCAAGAGACAGAAAACCCATATAATACTCACTGGCATAGGGAGAATTGGCAGCAGATCCATTCAGGAAGGTTGGAGAACCGCCTAAATTTGACATTCCAGCATTCCCATAGCCATTCATGCTTGTTGTGACAGAGTTATAATTTGTCTGTTGAGGGGTGGTGCTTGGCACATAGCCATGAGGTGACACGCTGCTTGAGTTGCGAGTAAAACCTTTTGTGGGGAGGGAATACATTTAGAAATTGGTATTAGCCTGAGAACAGTTTCTTACACAAACAGCTAAAAGCAAGTAACTGGGCTACCAAGCCAGCAGCCTAGTCCAGCCATGGTGTGCACAGGGAGGGCTGGGACTGACCACCACTACCACCAGGTAATCCAAATTGTGAACCCTCACTGCCTAGGACACTGCTGATGGGACCACAAAGCGGGAGGAGGAGGCTACAGCCTTCACAGCTCCTCGGGCAACCCCTGCCCTCAAGCAAAGATTACCACTGGGTATGATAGGAACGCTCACTCTAAAAGAGCTGTTTGTAGGAAATGGAGTAAACATGACCTACATTTTCAAAGCGGAGTACATACCGACTTAAGGTATGTTAAAAGCATATGATTGTTACCTCTCTTCTGATGTTGCTCTCACTTAACGCATCTCAGATTAGATGCTCACTGCACACATTAGGAAATGTAGGGTGTATTTCTCAAAGTAGTGGGATATCCTTAGTCTCCTGGCCCTGGTCTGTTCATTATGTTGGTAGAAAATGAGTATCAAATTTGGCACCGAGCTAAAATTTGTATCTCTACCTATTTCTGGAAACATTTCCAGAAACTCATATCCAAATATCCAAAAATGAAGATTTGTTTCTAGAAGCACAGAAATACAAAATGCATCTTCACTCCTAGAAGAAAAAATGCCAACTTTTCTTCCTACCACACAGTACATCCATAAAATATTTTAATCTAAAAGGGTTTTTTTTTCAGTGTAATGCAAAAGAATTTTGTCTGCCCCCTATAGAAAATAGCCTCATTCTAATACTTTCTCATTAAACTGAATTTTTAAGTTGGATAATAAATAGAACTGAGCAAAGGAGAAGGGAAACTGCAAAAGGTTTTTACAAAAATGTTCATCACATTTTTTTTATTTTTGACTGTAGGAATTAAACCAATTAAACCAATCGATTTTATACAAATTGAAAAGCACTTTATTAGAAAAATTGGAGAAGCTCTGAAAATGTCTTTGTAAATATTCCTATTTTTTGCTAGTTTCAAAATTTAGGAAAGTCTGAAAGTCTGAAAAAAAATCAGTGCCAATATTATGTCTCTTGAAAAACCAAACCAAACCAAACAGACAAATATTTGAGGGATACTTTTGTGTTATAAAGAAATGCTACACAGGGCCTAGACAGAGAGATCACCGATGCTCAGGAAAATATACAAGCAAGTACTTAACATTAAGTACATGCTCAAGACAATAGAAATCCTTTTAAAATTAGCGGGATTTAAACACAGATATAAGTGTTATTCTGAGCAGAAGCAAAAGCTATTTAGATATCTGCAGAAGGTTTTTTCCCGAATTAGGGGAAAAGTCACTAAAGAAAGCCAAATCTCATGACAGTATTGTGTCATTCAAAGGTTGTGCATATGTGTGGGATGGAGTCTGTCTAGACGTGCTCCTAGCCTTCAGTTTTGAACCATCACTCTTTCACTGCTCGGCATGGTTCCCTGACTTTTATCAGAAAAAGTTCATAGAGAGAGGAAGACGAGTCTTCTCCTGACCCTGATTGGTGGCTTGTGAGGCTTCAGAAACATTGACAGCTAGTTGACCACTAAAGGAATTCACTCCCATCATTCCTGCATGGACTGACGTGTTAGCAAGGGCGGGGAGCTGGTTGTGATTGCGGGGGACACTGTAGAGTGCTTCTGCGATGTCTGCTGCTCTTTTCAGGATTATAAAAAAAAAAAAAAAAAAAAAAAAAAAAGAAAGAGTTAGCAATATGGCTCTGACAAACCTTTTCTTACATGCTAAAATGAAACATTTCCCTGACCAAAGGCAAAAACTAGATGATATGCTTTCTAAACCAGTTGGCTGACTGATAGCTAATGCTTATAAGATTTGCTGTCTTCGTGATACATCCTGACATCTGTGTAAGAGAGTTGGAAGTTTCAGTCCCAGCAGCCACGCTTCTGTATAACAAGACCAACTGGCAGAATGGGGCTGGAGCCCAGGCTTTACTCCACCTTAAAGCTATCTTTAGGGTAAGATTGAAAAATCACCGGTGGCAAGACACAATGTATATCATTGCCCATATTATCTGTGAATACCTGGTGAGAGTGGGCAAATGCCTCCGGGGTTAATAACATGTTGCTTTTACGAGCACTAAATTCACACCCTTTAAAAAAGAAAACAAGCAAACGCACCCCCAATCCAGATATGACATTACCCTCCATATTTAGTCTTGTCTCACACTGTACACCTTTACCCCCTGCTCTATCTATACATCTATGAAATAGCCATGTTTTAGAATTGCTGAAGTAGAATGCATTTACCTGGTTATTATGTGGCATACCATAGAGTGCTTCTACTAAATCAGCAGCCCTCTTAAGTATTACTTCCTGTCAATAGAAAAACAGATGCATTCCTCTGAGTTCAATAAACTCCTTGTGGGGGAAAACAAATATTAGAATCTTTTATACTCTTCTATTAGTTGCACCATGTTTTCTGTTGTGGTTTTTTTTTTTTTTTTCTCCCACCAGGTACACCTTAATTGTAACAACTCTCAGCAACCACTGACTGGTGTTAAATCACTAGTTCATCCTATTCACACACACACACACACACACACACGCTTAATCAAGTCAAAAGGTGAGAATCATTGGTGCTGCAAAATAAAATACATCACTCAATTGTCTCTACCATCTGCACTATAAACCACTCATCGGTTTATTGCAGAATACAATCCTGAGGTCATTTACTAGATTACTGCAATCAATGTCATTCAGAGCATGTTATGAATCCCTTCAATGTGTTTATTTTTTTCTTAATTGGATACTGCAGGAATTGTGACCTTACCCAGCAGGCCACGTTCAAAAGATATCCAATCAGTCCTATGCTACTGGTAATGTAACCTTTCAACTTCTTTAGTTTGTACCCCAATATGGGTCAGGGTAGGATCCATGTACATAAAATAATGCACAAGAAGTAAACACATGACCCAGTACGGTGCAGTTTCCTGGAAAAATTCCCTGCATGGACAGAAGAATTTAAAACAGTCTGGGATTTAGTTCATCATCTGGGGCAAATTTTCTTTTCTACATTTTCTTATTTGTTCCTTTTCACTTAATATTTCTTAGAGTATTTTAAATTGGCAGTCATGTAATAAAAGCATTTCCTGTGTTCTTACATGTTACAGCGGGGAAAAAATCTCTATGAAAAATCCTGATAGAAAATGTAAAAATGCATTGCAGAATTAACCCAGAAGATTTTTTTTCTCTTATTCTTGCAAAGCATCTAGCAGATTCCCGATTGCCTGATCAAAACCAGTTGAGACTGTCTGTTGAGTAAAACAACATATTTTTGTAATTCCCAGCCCATAAGTATTGCTCTAATATACTAACATGATGCTATTCACCACAGTATATTACTGCAGGTAGCTTACAAAAATAGTACAGTTCTAAGGTTTTTACAGTTTTCTACAAAGTTAAACTTTTAAACTTAAAATATTTTACACAATAGCCATATTTTATACCAAAAAGAAACAGTAATGCTCAATTTTCATATACTGTAGACTCTGATCAGAAAATAGAGATATAATTGCATTCATTTTGCTGTCACCATAACCTCTTCAAAAATCCTTGAACAACTCTTCAAATGACAAGCTTTTAGATGCATATTAGCATTTTTTTCAATTTTAAATTCTCTATAATATAAGATAAAATAGTTGTCATACTGCAGTAACTACTTATGACATATATAATGTCCTAAATTCAAAAATGAGATGGAGGATTTTTGTACTCCCAGTAAACATTTAGGCTTGCTTTCTGCTGCACACACCCCTCTCTCAGAACACACATTTAAATTATTTTGCACATATGAAGTGAGATGTAATATATAATTGATGGATTTTTAAATCACTGCATTTGAAACACATTCAGAGGAGTTAAGTCGCTACAGCCTTCTTCTGGTGTTTTGGTTTGGTTTTTTTTTCTGTTGTGGCTGTTGTTTTGGGGTTTTTTTTGGTGTAGCTTGACCACAACAGTTAGCAGTATAATCATGGACAGACAGACTGCAAACAACATCCAGTACAATCAATCCTTGTTGCTTTACCAGAATCATCACAACACTGAGCTGCCCTTTTTGCCTCATACTGAAGATACAAACTAGAGAAGAACAGAGATGTTACTGAAAAATGTTATCTTTTTCAAGCCATGATTTTAGGTGGAAAATTACTGCACAGGTGTTTGACTTTGCAAACTACGATTTATTTCACTTCAGTAGAAATTGTTTGCACTATGTATTTCACTGATGGAAAATTAGAATGTGATACAAAGCCCACAAACTGCTTTAGAATATTGTTAACCTAAGCTGTCATTATGCCAAATTACTAAAAAAAGAGAAAGTTTAAATAGTCATTTCTACTCTGCCTGACTAATCATAGTTACTTATGTAATGCTGAGCTAAAAACCTTAGAATGCATCTAAAAAGAGATTGAAGACCATGTAAAAAAATTTGGTAATTACATGGACTCTTACAGCCACTCTACCTAATATTAAATACAATCCAGTTCTTAAACATTGGCAGTTCTTTGATACCATATCATATTGCATGTAAATAAAGCTAATTATGATGGTTTATTGAAATATGCTTGACAAGTAGCATTCCATTTTCCTAGCGAGTCAACAGTTATATTTTTTCCAACATTTTCAGAATCTGTAAATCTGAGTTTCAAACTCTATCTAACATTATTTTCACACAATAAAAGCATTTTTTGTTTATGACATTTTCAGATCATACAAAGTAGATGTTACACAAAAACTCCCGTGTCAAGTAGTGGTATCTTCTACTCCAGAGCTGACGGTAGTACCTATAGACACAAACTAGCTTTAAAAATGCACAATAAAATGCTACTACAGACATGCTCAAGACATTAACTTCTTGTTTTCTGAATGCATCTTAAACCCTTTGCAGCTCTGCTTAAATTACCATAGAAGCTACTGTTACAACTCCACATACAAAGGAGCCCCAAAAGTCCTCTATAAGTTAGAGCAACAGACCTTGCAAGGTGCTTGGATTGCGGTGACCAGAAAATTGTTCTCACCTCCATGTCATTACGCGCACAGTGAAGCAGCCCCCGAGCATGTTTGTGTTCGGGATCTAATATATTGCCTTTCAATCAGAGCTGAGAGCCACTGAACACATAGACAGAACATGACGAGCAGGTCAGGAAAGCAATAAAGATTTTACAGAGCTGTCCAAGGTGCTAAATTTACTCAATAATGGGTTTGGCACCATAGTGTTAACCTCTCATTTACTACCAGTTTGAGGGACTAAATTGAAGTAGCTGACTTCATTTACCTTGAAATGTATATTTTATGACATTATGTAAGTAGATTGAAAGGGCACTGCAGTTTTAACAATTTAAAGGCTAGAGCATGTTTAAGATGAAGCTCGAATATTTATTGTATATTGCACTTAAACTATATTGTATATTAAAATGCATTGATTAAATTTGTAAAAGGTATTATAAAAAAGGACAGCTAATATAAAAGATCTATGTCTTTTAAAATCCAATTGATGCTGCATGCTACCACTGCAACCGTGATAGATAAACAGATAGATAGGTGGACAGAGCAGCAGACAGACATATCAAAAAGTGAATGAAACTCACATTCTATAAAAAGAACTCTCTGCATAAGCTCAAGGTCTGTTATTCCAGATATTCTTTTGTTCACAGAAATTTTTCTTTGCCTTCATCTCAGATGCCTAGATTTTCATAGCAGTAAGTGGGCATCATGTAAGGTCCTTCCAATTGAATATGCAAGTGGAAATATTTCCTGAGAGAGACAGAGTTTGACTAAAGCTAATATCTAATTTATGGGGGCATTTGTCAAGAAAGATCCACTCTTCTACTAATGCTAAAAGTCTGACAGCTTTTGGTTTAGAATAAAGGACTTTGCAGCATTTAGTTAGAGGTAAAGTAAGTCTTCTCTTTTATTTTATTTCAAAGGAACATCATTTTATTTCTATAAAAATAACAATTGAGCAAATATTGAAGAGAGGAAAGATTGCTTTATTGATTAAATATGATGCATCAGAACTCTGCCCTCCATGCAGTTACACACCACAGATCCGGAGTCTGTTTTTATTCCAAACTGAAACTGATTTTCTACTGAGGGACTTTTACTTTCTTAATTTTTGAAACAGGAATGCAATTAAATATTTTAATCAAATTTTCCTCCTGAAAATACTAATGGGTGTTTAGATAAGCAAAAGAGGAGGCTGAGTATTGGACTGCTACAACTTCACATATTCCGAAATTACTGTAGGAAAGATTATATAAATCATACTGGAATGACGGTGCTTTTGAAGCATAAACACTGAAATGAAGACTGAATCCACTTCTGACAGAACATACCTTGAACCAACATTACAGCACTTTCCATGTTTTGTTTGTGGCATGCATTGCTCTCAGAAGGAATTCATTAAGATCATGAAACTTGCATTTCAAGTTTTATCATGTCAAAAACATTTTGTGTCAAGTTTTATCACGATAAACACATTTTGTGCCAGCTTTAAAAAAAGATGGGATATTTCTCCTGTTGACATCCGTTTATTTGTTATTCAGCAACTAGTGAAAAAAATCCACCCTGTGTCCCAAAAGGGCTGTGAGTGTAGTCAGATAAAGGGTATCTAAAGTTACACTGAGTTATTTGGCTTAAGTAACTAAATTAGATAATGTTCAAGGTACTTGTTAAATCTAAATGAATTTTGTCAAGAAGCAGCTGACCACAATATATAATACTCATCAGCCACATATTGTATTATTGAGACCACCAAAGGATTTATGTACTTGTGGAGGGCGTGGGGGGGAAGCTGTTCTAGCACACTCTGAGGCATTTATCTTATGTGTTGTCTAGATATCATATCACCTTCTAATGCTCTTTAGCATTGTAATACAAGAGAGAGCTCATTCATCTTCTGAGAGGGTACTTAGGGATGATGATGTCATTCATACTTCCTTGACTCTTATGTCTGACCTCCTGGCTCTGCCTTCTAACTTCCTACTCTCATGGCTACTTGCAAGAAAAAAACCTCTTCTGCAGAGTCAAAATGCTGAACATTAGACTCCAGTTCCCTTCTCCACCTTGGAAAGGTCACATTCTGAAATTTCAGTAGTCAAAAATTACAATAATTTGTGTTTAAACTTCTGTTCTTCAATTGGTGAATTTCTAAATGCGCTAATTACGGATATGTGTTAGAACTACGTTTTTAAATGTACTTAGAATTTGTCTACGCATTATATTTTAAAAGATAAAGACAAAATTGTGAACAACTGTTTCAAATATAAAGGAAAAAACAACATTTTGGTAGAGGGCCATGTAGAAGGATGCCACAG